CTTTCACAGATCCTTAGTAATGTTCCAGTCCAGGTACGCAGGGTATCCTAAGTACTTGGACAGGTTAGGCCCCAGATTTCCTTTAATCTCAGTGGGAGGAGATCATTCCCAGTGAATATTTACCTGCATTTTTGGGCATCCAGGAGCCTTGTAAAATCAGCTCCTTGGTTCCTAGAAGCAATTTGTTCATAGAATGAGTAAATTTGTTGCCTCTTTTGTTAAGTAAACCAATTAAACGCCTTAATAAATGTGCATGCTTTGATAAATACACAAAAGAAGTAAGCAACGCTCTTAAGGTCAGAGTTCTTACAAAACAATATTAAAATGCTCTTTTATGCATTTCAATTGAATTCAGATTGTCTAGCAAATAGATGAGTTTCTTCCCATCTTCTAATATAATTGAAACTCAAACAAAAATGAGCATTTGATTTGTATAGCCAGCAATGTGTTTATATTCTTATAATAAATATTTGTAGATGAAGTGAATCGCAGAGCAGGGTTAAAGCTAGTATATTTAAACAAAGTTTTTCTGGCTGCTGCTGCCAATCATGATTTAAATCAAGCCACCTTCTTTGCAGATTTTAAATTCTAGGCTGGGCTCTAAGGGTGGGATTTTCAGAAAGTGATGATTTAGGAGCACAAATGCTACTCAAACCAGCAGTATGCATATGGACTGGTGATAATAAAGCCCTCCTTTGCAGATAGGAGTATCTTGATTCCCTGCCCGCCCACCAGCTGTTACTGAAATTGCTACTGGACTTCTGACCTGTTCAATCATCTTTGTGCACGCTGTTGTTTGTGAAAGTGTTCTTTAGTCTGCCTTGGTTGCCGAGTACTTTGCATTTGTTTTTGCTCTAGTGGTGATCTCATATTTATTATAAAAAATTCCTGTACTGGTAGAGCTGTTGCTGTACAGTTGAGACAGAAGAAATTGTCCTGAGTTATCTCCTGGGCATCTCTGCTTGCATAAATATTTGCTATTGTCTTGAAGGTCCATTTTGAAGATCTGCACAGTTCATGTGTCTGCCTTATAGCAGTTGTATTGAGATTCTCACCCCACGTTCTCGCTTACCGCTCTATGGTGTCAACCAAGATAAAGTTAGCTCCTGGTAAGAGGACTTAGACCTATGTCTTCATTACCTGGTAGGTTTGGAATTTGTCCTGTAGGTGATTTTTGCTCTATGTACATGCACATGGTAGAGATGTTTACTGAAGAGTACACTCTGTTAGCTCAATAGGAGGCTGTAAGGAGCAGTCGGGACAGCTCAGCTGTGGGCCAGGCTGTGTGCTAGTTAGAGTATCTCCTGGGTGGACGTTTGGGAGGATGTTCATTTTTCTGTAAGTGGGACAGTGGGATAAAATGGCTTTTGCCTGTCTAAAGTCAGCATTCTGTGAAGGAGGGAGCAGGATAATGAGATGGGGATGTTAAGAGCTGAAATGAGGTTCATGCCATAGATGAATCTGGGGACCCTCTCTGCATTCATAGGACTTTCAGTGGGTTGGGTACGATGAGATCCTTTTGGGTTTTTAATTCTTTCTGTGGCATTTTTCTTAAGGAGTAATAAGCTAGTTCCGAGAGGAGTGTACTTTTTAGTAAAACCCATTGTTTGTAGGCTCAAAGATGAGATACAAACACGTGACATTATCATTCTCTTTGGATAGGTAGGGCAGGATCATTGCTCACTTTCCTCCTCAGTTCCTGGGGTGAAGAGAGAGCATCATCTAATTTAGTCAGAGAGTACAGAGGTGAACTTCTCAGCTGAGTATTTGGGGAGATCACAAAGAGAAGAGGAATGTGGCCTCTGAGTTGCAGTAGAACAAAAAAGGAAGGTCTGTTTCAAAACAAAGCTTGATTTTTCAGCAACTTCATTTTCCAAAACTCTTCATATTTTTTTTGTTTTTGAAGTGCTGAATGTTCTCAATGCCATGTGAAGTCTGTAGGAGCTGTAGAGGCTCAGCAACTCTGAAAGCTGGTGCCCATTCTATGGATGTCATTGACATGTCTATCCCTCCGTTACTGCAAATGCAGTATTTTACATTCCTGGTGTTTCTTAACATCTGGGTGGATTCTGTAGAGAATAATTCGTTGCTAGCATCAAATTGCACATTTGTTTACTGGTCAGTTACACAATCAAAGTTTTTAAGTATTTTTGGCTGTCTTCTAATTCTGCCTCTGACACATAAAACTTACAGGTCCTTTTAATCTGGAATAGGATTCTTTGTAGTTTACTGGCATTTTCAAATATGCTTGTCTTCGTATTCTGCCTGCCCAGTGCTTTGGATCATTAGGTTGATGTGAACTTTGTGCTCCCCATTCTTGCACTTGGCTTCCTGCAGATCTTATCAGTCTGTGAGGTGTCAGAGGTTTGCAGCTGCAGAGCTTTATAAACCTTTTGTTTTATTTCCTCAGCCTAAAGCTAGCTGTCTGTCTGCTGACTTTGGGGGAGGCTGGTTTGTTTTGGGGGATTTTTTTTGTGGCTGCTTATCTTAGTAGCAGGTTAAACTCTTCTGGAGTCTCTGTGCTGCAACTTGCAAATGTACTGTTAAAATACCCTGCTTTCATGACCTGTAGTGTATGGTTAAAAAATACATGCTTGCTGAAGATTGTCTGATTGAGCATCTTGATTCTTCATCAGAACCTGAAATTATCAAAGAAATTTGTAATGGTGTGTCTTCGTAAGAGATCTCTGGAACGTTGGTCCACTCATCTGTGTCTTTATGCTGAATATAGGAATCTCTGGGGTTACTTTATGGGTGTGTGTTGTAATATGTGGTTTACATTTTAATGGCTCCCACTAGTGTTCTATACGTACAGTTTAAAAAAAAAAAATTGTATGTGCTGAGCATCAGCTACTGTATTCACTAAAATTCACTACAGCACTTAAAATATAGTGAATATGCTGAGAGATCATAGAAATACTTTTAAGACTTGAGAGAAAACGAGTGCTTTTTGTAATGTCTTTGCAAATTTCAAGCCAAAAGAACCCAAATAAGTGTTAATTTTGCGAGAAGAAATTCCCTTTGAAGAAGTTGTGAGGGGAGTAAAGCAGTAAAATAACTTACTGTGGAAAAAATACTTACACTTGCTTGAATTCCAGTATGTTTCTGCTTTACCTTGACACTACTGCGTTATTGTGAATTTGCGTGTTTGCCACACTTAGCACACCACCAGATAGCAGTGGGATTGCTTTTTCATTATGGTCAGGATTTTTTTCACTCTTAAGCCAATTGCACTTTGAATCTAGCTGAGAGAATATTTTTTTATTTATTCAGTGAAGGCCCAGAGCAGCTGATCACCTTTGCACTGCTGGAGATGCCACATCACTATAAGGACACTTCCCAGTATTGGCGGCGTGGTGGATGGAGGAAGGGAGATTATATTACTCTCAGCGAGAGCCGTGTTGTGTTGTCAGCTCTCCAACTTGTGTTGTCCCGTCCATGCCCCAGAGCCTTCATACTGAAGAGCTTTGCGCGAGGTGTTCTCTGGATTTAGCCCAAAGAGAAGAAGCAAATACTCAGGCGGCTGGGGTGGTCTGAGGTCATGTTAGGGAGGTGGCAGGACAAGCAGGAATCAGTTCCTGTCTCACTGAGGGGAGGAATTGAATCCTGCAGCACTTAAGGCTTATCGGTGCTGGTGTGAACGTTGCTCTGAGTGGCAATCTGCTCACCTTTTGTTAAGAAGGTGAAACAAAGTATTTAATTTTCTCATTTTCCAATGTTACCAGGCTTGGCGGTGTGAGCTGTACCACTTGTATATTTGGGGTTTTTTTCCTACTGATCTAGGATGAACAGCCATTTGTTTATTACTTTGAGCTTGAATCATACTCAGTGAGGTAATATATTAACTCTGGAAGCAGAGTGTGTCACTCTGCTGTCACTAACCAGCACGTACTGCCATTCTGATACACTGCTGTGGCATAAGCCTGTCTAAAAACCCCAAAAGCAATGGTGGTAAAATGAAGAACTTTGACGTTTTCCTTAGACTGGCTTGAAGGTGAATGAAGTAATGAGAGAAATGCAACTATTTGGTGAATTTCCTACTTGTGCCTCTCTGCTGCTATGGAGCATGTGTGGTCCCTTCCCAAAAAACAGATTTTTGGTTTGTATTGGTAGTGCTTGGATACTGCAGTGACGCAGGTGATTTGGAGTCAGCCATTTTTGTGCAAAAGAAAGCTGTCGCTTTCACAGCAGTTAACTTTTAATATGAAAAAATGTGTAATACCACTCCACGTGCATTTTGCACCGAGGAGATCTATTCAAGAAAGACAAAGACAAGTTGGCTTGGGCTGAGAAAGTATTGCACACGCACTGGGATAAAAAGTGTTCTAGAGACTGGAAAACAAAACACTCATCTGTTCGATGGTGCTAACATCACACGTACAATAAATCTGTGCCTTCTGTGTATATGTGATTATAATTTTAAACATATTGAACACTTTCAGCCCCCTGCAAACCCTTTCCTCAGTTGGTGTGCAGAATGGAAGGTATTTGCTTAATGAGCAAGCGTTTTCTTAATGCTCAGTGCTGAGTCCTCAGGCCTTATTTGCTGAACACTCCTCCAACTGCTATGGGGATGGAGTTTCTTAATTTTTCTTTATGGGTTTTCCTCTTATCTCATTGGTCTGAATGAGTGTCTTTCACTAGTATTGAACCTATTTTTGCAACATGGGATGAGGATATTTTTAGTATCTCTGTTCTCCTATTTTAAAGTCAAAAGTATACACTTGCTTTTTCAAAATGAAAGCCAAAGTCGGATTTTTCAGTTCTTGGCATTGTGTAACACTGTATTCAAGCAGAGTTGCATTTGAATTCAGTTGTTATTTTGAGGGCTCAGCATTTTTGAAAATACCTCTCTGAGATTGCAGGGTGGGTGCCTGGAAAAGTTAGAGTGTAGTAACCATTTCTAAAATGTTTGATTCAAGTGACTGGCTTAACAGCAAACAAACATTAGGTGCAAAATAGGGGGAATTTCTTTTTTTCTTCAGGTAGAATCTTTTTTAAAGCAGAGAAGCCGTACTGTTTCTTCATGCGGCCTCTTTCCTTGCTCACTGCATTTGCTGGTACCTGCAACTCTGAGGTGTGTGTTTGCTTCTGTTAGGCCTCCTGTTTTACCTGCTGTGATACATAACAACCCAGCATTTCTGATGCCCTGTCTTCAGAGCTCCCCATTTATTCCCAGCCCCAGGTCTCTCTTCCGACTTCTTCTGAAATCTTTTCCTTTCCTCAAGCTCTTCTTGCTTGCCGTAGACAGCCTCCCACCTTCAGAAATCGGTGTGGAAGTGTTTAAGCGTGTAACAAAATGGGGAGAAGAACTGATATGTGAAAACAAACAACTGATTTGTGGCAAGAATTAGGACAAGGATAAAAATACCTGACAGGTTTGTCAATTATAACCTGCTAGTTGTGGTAGAGTGAGGCGCTGCTTTGTCTCTTTCCTAGAGCTGTGTGTGATGCCCAACACACGTGGCAATTGCTCAAGGAAAAGGCAATGTACTGTAGAATTAGATAGAAGTTTACATAAGTCTCTCGTTGCTGGTACTTGTCCTTGAGTTTGTCTAAAACCAGATTTTTCTGGTCTACTCTGTGGTTTCATTTGCTGTTCTAGTAACTTTTAGCCGTTTGCAAATCGATTTGGTTTTCCCAGAAGTGAAAGAGAAAGTGAATTTTTTTTTTTTCCTGTATTGACTGTGCCTCTTTCCTTCTAGTCTCTCAGACTCCTGAACTTGTTTAGCAGAAAGACTTAGTCCCTGTTGCAGCAATCAAAAGATAACTTAAAACGTGTTTTCCAGGATCCTAACTTGCCAAGATGCCCATCAATGTTGATGATGTGATGGAACTGTTCTGCCATCTCGCTCAGGTGAAGGGGATGAAAGCTGCTGTCAAACACTCTGGTCGAGGAGCGCTGCTGGCGGGTGCAACAGCATTTATTGGGGGTCTGATGGGAGGTCCACCTGGAATTGCTGTAGGTACGTGTGTTTTGCTTTAGGATCAAGAAGTGTGGTTAACTTCTGCTCCACCGCTGCGGTGGGGAAGTGGAGAAGAGAGGGATGGGGCAGGGGCAAAGGAGCACAAGAGACTGTGGTAGCAGTTGGGTGGGGGGTTGGTGGTACCTGGTGGCACAGAAGAGGGAAAATTGGGGTGCAAAGCATCCTTAGTCAGACTTAGCAAAGGACAGGGTCATCTTCCTAACAATCTTACTAAAAATTGTTTATTTCTGTTATTTTAAAAGTACCTGCTATCCACATCTTGGTGAGCTTATTTTTTTCCTCTGGAATTCGTTATTCCCTGTCACTTGCTTTTTTCCCTTGTATGGAAGATTACAGGAAAGACAGAGTCTAACAGTAAAGCGTTGTGTGTCTGTAGCTCTTGAATTAAGAGTTTTCTAGTTTGAAAGCTACCTTGTCACTGAAGTCATGCGGACCTTGATCCTTGAATGCTCCTTACTCCTGTGAGCAGTTCCAGCAATTTCACAGGCTTATTGGTATTGGAGCGAATTGCAGTATGCCTGCGTGAGGGTTAGCAAGATTGAGTTACAAAAAATAAGCAAATAATGTGAGGAGTGATAACAGAAAATGTAAAATGAAGCTGTGTATTTACTCCTGTTACAAATACAGAGCTTAACTAATAGCCAGAAATAATATTTTTACAAAGGTATGACTGAAATTATCAGGAACAAAAAAGTGAAATTAAGCTTTTATAAGAAATTTGTAAGCTGTAAATCAAAAGTAAAAGCAAAAATGTCAGTGGCCTTATTCTTGAGTGAGAAGATGAGAAACACTGAAGTCAGTCTTGGATGTGTTTTCTCATTTTAAGTGTTTTAAGCTTTCATAATGTCTCCAGTCAAGCTCGGTGTTCTTCAGCCACTGATGAAGACGCTGGAACAAGTATACCTAAAAATAAAGTATACAGTAATAAGTACGTAAGTACTAAGTATACCAAAAGCCATGTCCCAATTACAGTGGAACTAAATCAGAAAACCCTTATTTAACTTTAAAAATTGCAAAGGTAAATGACCCTGGGTCTTTAGTGTGTTTTAGCACAGTTACAGGGACTTTTGCAATTGAGTGCACTTTTACTTACACAAGCAGCCTGGATAGGCATAGGACTGGAATAGCAGGGATTGTCCTTACTGCTGCCTTGCACCAAGAATTAGAGGATTAATTACCTTCCATGTGCAGTGGTCACTGGAAACTTGCAGTGTATCATGCTTTCTAAGGACTACTTGCTCTGAGAAGAATGGATTGTGGATGTGTTGCTTGGGGGGAAAAAGTGTGATCTTGTAACAAATCTTGTCTCAATACAGGAATTTGGACGTCAATACTCTTGGTGGCTTTTGCATTAAGTGCCCCTAAATCAGCTATTGATATTCTCATAAAAGTTCTTGAAGATGAATTCGGCCATCACAGACTTTCAAATATTTCTGTGGTATCAAGGAAAAAATTGCCAACTGAGTAAAATGTGTAAATTAAGGAATTTTTGTCTAATGAAAAATTGCATCCCTGTGGTTGCATGAATTACGTTTTTGGAGCAGTTGCTGGGGTGGGAATTTTGGAGGCGGAGTCAGTTCTTGGCGTCAGTCATGTGAATTCCTGTCAGAGAGCACTGTGTTGCAAGTTAGACTGTTAACTCTTTGCAAGACAAGAACGGTGTAAGAGTGTAGTGCTGGTTTCTCAGCGGCGGCCACAATCACATCAGCTGTAGACAATCTCTCTGCTGTTATCCTGATGACCTGGAACCACTCTAATTACCAGAGCATTTCTTGGCCAGCTGGGTGGGCAACACGGGTGGGGTGTTGATGAAAGCATGAATGTGTCTGACCCCATGAAGCTGATGGGTTTGGTCTCTGTGAGCACCTTCTGAGGGGTGGACTTCAGAAGCAGAAAGCTTGGATCAGTCTGGGAATCTCTAGTAAGAGATTGTGTTAATGGCGCTGACAAGGCAATTGTCAGTTAGATGTTTTCCTTGGGCATGGTTTTATTTAGTGGTAGAACTTACCCTAAGGAGCTCAGTACCCTAAGGAGTATTTTGTTTCTGATTTCTAGCTTGAAGCCGTTAGTTTTGAGTGTGTAAAGAGTGTGATCTGTGATTGTGATTGCTGTGGATGTAAAAAGCTTTAAAAATCCTTTTTGGTGCTTTGAACATTGTGTGTAAACCTAAAAGTTTAAACTATCTACTTAAAGTAGACACATATGCAACTCTGCATTGATTTCTCATAAAGGTGGGAACATTGTTGATGAAGGCTGTGGATAGAATTTCAGGTTTTAACATTAACTGGTGAAGAGTAACATCTCTCTGTCTTTTCTAGGAGGAGCATTTGGTGGATTGCTTGGTGCCTGGATGACTAGTGGACACTTCAGGCCGGTCCCTCAGATTTTATTGGAATTGCCTCCTGCTGAGCAGCAGAAACTGTATGATGAAGCCGTTGTTATTCTCAGGCACTTAGACTGGACTGATATTGCTCAGCTGACTGCTCTTGTAATGGGAAATGCTAGTCTCCAGCAGAAGTTGACAGCAATGCTGATAAATTACCTCTCCAAAGAGCTGAGAGCAGAGATACAGTATGGAGAATAAACCTTTCCAGAGCAGGCTTTTTACAGTGCTGTGAATTTTACTCTGACAATTGTGATTCTTCAACATAGCAATTATTAGTTATTGATACTAATTATGAATGTAGGCAGATCTAAGTATTACTTTGGGTTTGGGAGTTGGGGTTGGTTTGTTTGTTTCATAAGGGTAGTATTAGATTACTGCATTATCCTGACACTTACTATGTACTTTTTAATTACTTTGCACTAGGACTGAATTCAAAATCACTGAAGGGAGTTATGCTTCTCTTAGGCTAATGTGTCACTAGTTAAAATTGTCAAAGTCTTCGTGTTTTATTTAGGAGATTCAAGCCTGTTTGTGTAAGTGCTTTAATTTTCTTCTGTGAATGACATAAAGGTGCCAAAGTAGCTAGGGCACTTTGAAGATTTTTACTTACTGTCTGTTTCAGTCCTGCAAAGGAAATTTATAAGAAGTACATTATTCTACTGTGAACTCAAAAGGTCTCAATCCTTACTTTATTGTTTGTTGCATTTTTGTTGTAATTCTTGAGTTATTTATCCCTTTCTGTACGAAGTGAAGCTGATGCCTAAATAAGATTTAAAGCAACAGGTAAACAAACTGTGCACAATTAGTAGTTCCTGGTGCCCTAGAATGGGAAGGCATGGCAAGAAAACACTTATAAAAAATCTAAAAATGGGGAACTGAAACTGACATTTTTTGTCCTATCCCTAGCATTAGGGTTGTCATTTCAGTGTTGGTTTCTTGACTGAATCTGAACACCTGGTCCTCTGTTTTCATTAAAATATTCATAAGAAGCATCGTAGTGGCCTGTGTTTTGCTTTAAAGTAAATGAACTCTTTAAGAACTGGGTATTAAAATTTGAGGAAGAAGGCAGCCCTGTACTGGTCAGCCAGTAGTTGCCAGCGGTGGTGGTGGTGGTGTGGGTTGACATGCCTGCAGTTAACGCTCTAAGCTCCAAATGCAATGTTACTGAATATCCCAGCCAGTTCACCAAATAAGACAAGTTTGTAAGTCAAAAACTGTGCAGGTATGCTTTCTTTTGTATGTAAAAACAAGTGAAACTGCTCTGATTTCATTTTTCCCCTAAAATAAAGATTTATCTCTCTGTGTGTGGTGAGGTTTCTAGAAGTTGAGTTTTAAACAGTGAAGCTTTAAACTCAGAAGTTGCTATTGTATACATTTGATTAATTTATTTCTGCAGGTACAGTTCGCCATTAGTGAATTCAGTGCACTTTCCTGCCTGGAGTGCAGCACAGTGATTGTTGTTCTCATCATTTGAAAGCACTTTTTCAGTGATGTGAAAGACAGATGGAAGTGAATGGTAAGTGGGCACTCCTTACCCTGTCATGGTTTCATAATGCCAAGCCTGAAATCGGTGTTTGTTCAGTTTCATTGACAGATTACACACACTGCAGCTGGCTTTTTAAGACTTTACGTACTCTGTATAGCCATTTTAAAATGCTATTTTTATGAAAGCAGTTACTTCTATTTGCAATTTTCTGATTATTTCCCAAATTAAGTCCCTCTTTCCAAAATAACACACTGCTAACAGCAGCGGATGATTGAATGATACAGTGGGATAGAGCCTGCCATCTTATAATCAGGTGTTTGAACCCAGACGTGAAAGAACTTGACATCTGATTGTAAGGCAGACCATAGGAAAGATGTTGGTTTCAATTAATTTATAATAGTATGCAGGTTTTAAACAGATCATTAGCAGATTTCAGAGTGGTTTCAGACATTTATCATTACTCCCATTTTACAGGTATTCATAAGTTGGAGCTCAAATGCGGGTAGTGAATTGATTTTTATTGCTCGTATCGGTGTCACAGCCATGAATGGAGCTTAAAGTATGTGACTCCTAGTCCCGGACTCTATGTTACTCTATTTCTTAGGGTATTCTTTCAAATGCTTTTTATTATACACTTAGAAACGATAAAATAGTTTTAATTACGATCTTTCAGCCTTCAGTGTCGTATGAAGTGGGCTTGTGTCATACGGGTACCAACAGAACTTTGGTCCAAGTAGTTCAGAGTTCTGCATGGGCCAGTCTAGCTTATGTTAAACCCTGCTGCCCCTGGGCTCCTGAGAAGCTGTAGGCTCTGTGCCACAGAGTAGCATGCTCTTAGTCATTATAATAAATTTAACTTCCACAGATTTTCAGATGACTGAAGTAGAACAAGGAAGAAGTGAATTGAATTATTTTTGTTTTCTGTATCTTTATTTAGTGGGTTTGATGCTCGTGGAACTTTGTTGTGGTTTAACCCCAGCCAGCAAATAAGCCCCAGGCAGCTGCTTGCTCACTCCTCCCCTCTGGTGGGATGGGGGAGAGAATTGGAAGAGTAAAAGTGAGAAAACTCATGGGTTGAGATAACAACAGTTTAACAGGTAAAGCAAAAGCCACACGTGCAAGCAGAGCAACACAAGGAATTCATTCCCTGCTTCCCATGGGCAGGCAGGTGCTCAGCCATCCCCAGGAAAGCAGGGCTCCATCACACGTAACAGTGACTTGGGAAGACAAACGCCATCACTGCAAATGTCCCCCTCTTCCTCCTTCTTCCCCCTGTTTATGTACTGAGCATGGCATCATATGGCATGGAATACCCCTGTGGCCAGTTGGGGTCAGCTGTCCTGGCTGTGCCCCTGCCCAGCTCCTTGTGCACCTGGCAGAGCATGGGAAGCCGAAAAGTCCTTGACTGAGCATAAGCACTGCTCAGCAACAGCTAAACATCAGTGTGGTATCAACATTATTCTCACCCTAAATCCAAACCACAGCACTGTGCCAGCTACTAGGAAGAAAATTTACTCTATCCCAGCCAAAACCAGGATAAACTTCTTGGAAGGTGGCAGGTATCTATTTTCTAAGTGCTAGCAATAGGTTCGCAGTTTGGTCTGAAACGCTGGTAATAGAACATGAACAGAACCCAGCTTGAGTGTTCATCTCCAGTGAGCTTGGATGTATGAGAATTGGGAAATAACCGCTTCTGACTGAGGAGTCCCTGATACCAAGGGAGAATGAGTGTTGGACCCCACAGTGATTTTGTTTGTATGTTAGTGGTTTCTGTCTGTTCGTAGTGTTGAATGCTGCAGAAAGATCAAATTCTTTCTTCATTGCTTTGACTACAGCCCTATGCAACCGTGTCGAGGTCACCACGATATTTGGGTTGTAGCCTTATGTGGGGATTTGGGCAAGTTAAAAGAACCCTTCAGCAGATTTGAGCATCTGAGGAAAAGACCAGCTGCACAAGAATGTATTAACATCCATCTGTTATTGTTCTGTGGCAGAGGTGCGGCTGGTTGCCGCCGCCACCCTTGTTGGTATTGGAAACAGCCACAAGCAGGGGATGGCATCTTCCAAAATCCATTCCAGCTGCATATCGTCCAGGCTGAGTGCAAAGCACAGCTATTGCCTAGGAAACAAGGTAACGCAGTGCCAGCAGTTTTGGGAAACAGCTGAAAGAGTCACTATGGGGAGATGTACGTACTTATATAAAGAAACCATCTGTGATGCCAGTTATTAACCTGGTTTGGTTGTAGATGTGACAGAATCAAGCTAGATTTCCACTGGCAGATTTGTAGTATTTTTAGTTTAAAAATCTTTTTTTTTCTTACGTGTTCTTTTTTTTTAAGCTGTCTAATTTAGAAATAGAAAGCAAGCATGATTATAAAGTGTTATGTTAGCAAAGAGAGGGAATATCTTTTAAAAAAATCCAAACCAGTCCTGAATTAAAACATAGATTAGTAATTGAGATGTGCCATCTAGTGGCAATAAGATTATTTTGTAACTTCAGCCTATCAAGGCTGCCTCAGTACATGGATAACACAGGGCTTTTTTCCAAGTAGGGGTAACTTCTTTTTTTGCTCTTAGTTTGTTAAGTTCCTGCCTTTAATGAATTTGTATTAGATTTCAAATATCAGCCTAGCTACAGACTAGACTAGAATTCATATACATTCCCTGATGAAGTTGGTTTTTGATGATTATCATATGTGAGCTATGACTGCACAAATATTTACTGCATCTGCATGTTACGTTTAATTACAGGGAGAAAATGCACCATCAGGTAGAGGAAGGCGGTTTCACCCTCGTGATTACTGAAGGACAAGTGGATTTTGTGAGCTGAGGAGCAGCCAGTTGGCGAAGACTGATTGACCGTAGGTGGATTGGCAAGCCACTAAAGAATAATTGCTTGGGTTTAGGGAGGTTGCATTTCCTTGTTCAGCCTTTGGAGCAGTGCTCACCTCTCATGTAGGACTGGCCCATGTCTAACTGCTGCTCACGTGGACCCTGCAGGACCAAGGAGTATTTGGCTGTGAAAATCCTGTCTTTTGCTAATCACAGCACAGGCTTTCTGAAGGTCCCATTCCCAGCAGCATTGCAGAGGCTCCCAGGCTTGGTCCTCTGGAGGAGCATGAGAGCTGCCAGAGACCTTGAAGTAAGGGTGGGGAGCAGGGTGCTAGGGTGGTGCACCATGATGGTACACCACAGTGCCCACGATACCGCTTAATTAGTTACTATAGTTCTTGTTAACTGGAGGTTTTACAGGGGTTTGGTGAGATCCTTCTGCTGTGGAAGAGGGTTCCCTGTACTGACCCACTGACTCCAGAGCGCACAAAGAACTGTAAAAGCAGAACAATCCTGAGATCCCATTAACTGACTAATGACAATTACAGCAGTGGTAATCTGCCCAAAAGGTGATCAGGCAGAGAGCTGCTTCAGAGCTGAGGTTCTGCAGAGTAAGTACGCAACCCCATGAAGGAGAGTCTGGTGGCTCTTGGCTCAGCCTGTTGGTATGTTCTTGGTCACATCAGCTCTCACCTCTTACACCAGTATGAGAAGTAATATGGATTAGTATTACGTGGGCAGTTTTTCTAAGAACAGCCCCTCTCCTTCCACGGCTGCACACCCACACATACTGAGGGCTTTGCTGGAGAGGAACGTTCCCCACCGAGACAGTCTCCATCTCAAAGAGGTCTCCTGTGGGCTGCTGGCAGGAGGGGGTGCTGTGTAACCATCCATGTACAGGCCCTGGCTTGCCAGGGGAAGCCAGTGGCTGGGGGTCCTCTGTAGGCTGCTGCTCCCCTGCCTGTGCCTGCTGGCTCTGAAGAGCAGGGGGGTTTGGAGAGGTGCTTTGCTGCCTGCCTAAGGGCAGTTTGCTTACAGAAGCTGACTGACCTCCTGCAGCAAGAGTTTGCCGAACTTTGGGTAGTCACCCAGCTTCCCCATTCAGCTGCTTTTGTGTGAGGTGGTTATGACAACACCCAGCTAGTGATGGAGGGCTGCACAAGGTGATGGCTACTGACTGGTGGGGGTGATACTTACCAGCATTTTGTTACCAGTATTTGATTTCTCACCACGTCGTTTGAGATGATTCCAGCAGTGCAGTGTGTTGTACTGTCCACTGTAGCCCAGTTACAGGCCACTGTGCCCTGGCAGAACTGCTTTTCCCTCTCATAGTTCGTGATTTACAGCTCCTGCCATATGTGCTTCAGTGCGCAGGGCATGGGTGGGGTGGCATGGAATGGCTGCAGTCACCCGCTCCCGGTAACCCCTCTTCTTTAGGGAGGAAAGCTTGTGCTGCAAGGGACTCAGGTGGGCCAGGATAGCTGCTCTTTTGAGGCAAAATTCTGTTTAGCACAGACAGCATAAAGCTACTGAGACCCAGTGTGTCCATATTTCTTTCAGATGACAGCAGTTTGAGATTGCAACCCAACAGTGGTTAGCATGCCTTTTCTCCCTTTCAGTTGGTTTATAGCAAATTAGTGATACAAAACTCACTGAAAGATCTTAATGGAAGGGGAAGGGGATTGTATTATTCAACATCATTAAGCAAATCGATCTTACACAGCCGTACTCTCATGGCATACCTGCTCAAATGGTCTGACCAGGATTGCTTGTGCACAACATGGAGGACTTCATCACCTGAGTTATTCTTGATTGTCAATGGTGAACTAAGTTTTTGAACAAATCCCTTCTATCCTTTAGGATATCCTTTATATC